CACCCCTATTAGATACCCTGAATTTACAAGTTAGTAAATCCTTAAAATCTTTGCGCTTTGAAGGTTTACACCTTGGATTAAATTAAGGGCAAGGCATACATGCATATCATGTGAAACATGGATGATGCTCATGAAAAAGACATATTAGTTTCTTTAAAATAAGCTGTTCCAGTAGAATCAAATAGTCATTTCGGGCCATTCTATTCCATTTCTTACCTTTCTAATCAAACTGTCTATGGCTGCAGTCCTAACCTGCCCATTTGAAAAAGGTTCATTCCGATACTCTCAATGTGTGCAGCAGACGAGAACTGTTGTACCAAACTACATTCCTTGCAGTGCATTTTGCTTATAGCAAAAATTTGATGAATGGTACTTTATTAATCCACAGGAATGTGGCAGGCTGATAAGGTTATACAAAATATGTTTCATCTCAGGTTATGTTCACACAGCAGCATTCAGATTTCACAAACAAAGTCAGAATTGAGCATTGAACTCAAGCGGTAACTCATCCGTCCTGCAAACAGGAAGCCTGGGTTCGTATCCCAGCTGGGGGGAATGAGCTGCCACTGTGGGTCCTTAGGCAAGATCCACACTAATGCCTGCTTTAGGGAGTGGCGACCAACTCATACAGACTAACACGCTGGATCCCTGAGCAAGACCCTTAACCCCACACTGCTCCCAGGGCGTGCACAATGGCAGCCCACTGCATCCCCAAGGGGATGGCTTAAATGCTTAGAGTGAATTTCATTGCTCTGTACTTGTGACAGTGTAATAACAATAAAAAGCTGGAGAAAAAGAAAATTAAGGCCTTCAGTGTAAACGTAGCCTAACCTCTTACACCCTAAGGGGGTATAAATAAATTTCTGCCTGACAAAAACACACAAAATAAATAACTTATAGCCTCAAAGCTATTAGATTTAAGAAGAAACTTTTGGTACCTCTGTAAAGGTTAGATGTCATAGAATGATTTTCTGGTGTCAGCACCATTGTAGCTTTGACCCTGCCTGAAATATTAGGGACAAAATACAAAATATTTTGCATTTT